ATCATTATTAGTAAACAGCATGGCTTTACAAAAGCTCATTCTTGCCAAACCAATCTGTTAACATTCTATGAGGAAGTGAGCTGCCATCTAAGGAAGGGTGGTGGATGTGTATCTAGATTTTGCAAAAGCATTCGATACAGTCCCTCATAAATGCCTGATTTACAAACTGAGGTCTGTAGGCTTAGACCATAGGGTTTGTTCATGGGTAGAAAACTGGTTACAGGGGCGCGTCCAGAGGGTGGTGATAAATAACGTGTACTGGAGTGTTAAGTGGGGTAAAGTAAAGTAATGCATTTGGAGGCTAAAAATATGAACGCAAATTATTCACTAGGGGGAGAACCCAGGATGGAAAAAGATCAGGGGGTCCTAGTAGATGACATACTCAGCAATGGCATGCAATGCCAAGTGGCTGCAAGCAAAGCTAGCAGAATATTAGCATGCATAAAAAAGGGTATTTACTCAAGAGATAAAACTATAATTCTTACACTTTTTATAAAACTATGGTTTGACCACATCTGGAGCATGCCGTCCAGTTCTGGTCACCAGTCGTCCGAAAGGATATGCTTAAGCTGGAGAGGGTCCAGAGAAGGACAACAAAATTAATATGGGGGCTGGTGGACCTCCTTTACGAGGAACAGCTACAAACCTTAAACCTATTCTCCCTGGAGAAGAAACGCTCGAGAGGAGATATGATATCGATCTACAAATACCTCAATGATGATTCTAACATTTGGAATAAACTGTTTTAGTCTCAGGGAGTATAAGAAGACATGGGGCCACTCAGTGAAATTGGAGGAGAAGCAGTTTAACCTTAAACTGCTTAGGGAGTTTTTCACTGTCAGGGCGGTAAGGATGTGAAACTCACTTCCACAATCAGTAGTGTTAGCGGGAAGTATTGATAGAGTAACTCTTAGATGGGCATCTTAGTGTGCACAATATGCAGGGATATGGAATAGGATTTTTTACATGAACACACATCTTTATTCAACCTTACTTACTAAGTAAATATTTTACCCTTTTGTAATGGAACGATGCTTGCAGCACAGTTGCCATATAGAATAGTTGCACTGAAGACTTCCTGCAAGTTTTCAACCCAACAGAATCCCATTCTGCTAACTAAAAATGTTTCCACGTGCTGTGCTTTTAGACCTCATACACATGGGGCTTCTAACTCATGTGCATCAAATCCCAGAGGCACAGGTGCAGCCCTGCTGCCAGCAGCTTGGACAAATCTATGACAGGCTGAAATATGTATTGGCTAGAAGCTGTAAAAAGTGGCACTTGTGTTTTAGGGTCATATGCGTTCAGAGACATATGCCTAGAATGTAGAATTCCTGCTTTCTGGGGATACATCCCTGAACACATATGGCCCAAAACAGGAGTATAACTAGGTACAGCATCCAGCCACCGCATATTTTAGCCTGTCATAGATTGGTAGTGGGGCTGGATGCTGCAACTATGCCTCCTGGGCGGCCAAAAATGCTGAAATTCAACACACATGGGCTAAATGCCCTGCATGCATGAGGCCTTAGGCTAGGTTCACAATTTGTGTGCACAAAAGAAATTGCGTGTTTCCACTCATTTTCTATGTCAGTGGGCTTTTCTACAATTGACAGCACTATATAAGTACCTGAAATAAATAATAAATGTGTCCCTGTCCCTTTTGCAAAATTGCGCTGCTCCGAATTGCATGGTGCATTGAGGTTTGGCGTGTGTGAAAACATGCACATTAAACCGTGCATGGGGATGCTTTTGGGAGTTAATAGCACGACCGCGCATCTTTACCCTGCAATTTTGCAAACGTTCCCAACATGCACAATGTGTGAAGCTATCCTTGGTTTCCTCCAAGGAGCACGCTGACTAATACTCAATCGATTTTTATTTACATTTTGAATAACAATGCGTGACTTCTATTTTGTTTGGCGACAGGAAATAGGTAAGGGGAAATGATTTTTAAACAAATCTGTTGAGTCTTGGAGTTTTCTACCTTCAAAATAAACCCAGATGGTCATTTTTGTTTGTATGACGCCATCTTTTCTATTTACGCTCTTTAGAATGTCTACAGACATGTTTTAATAACAAGCAGCAGTTACTAATTCCTAAAGCATTTAACAGATTGTATAGCCCTCAACCTCCACCCTCCCAGTTACACATTTAGATGTGTAGACATTTAGAAGTTTTTTTTTCTTTTTTTTTTTTTTTGAGTATAGAGTACCTTTATCATCAGGTACTTGCTCTCACTTCCATATTCCTTGCCTTGGCGAAGATGTTTACTTGGTGACACATGATGGAGAGCCACAAGAGGAAGATTGATCATGTCATCAGTTTACTTTGTGGTTGTTTCAGGTGGATGCTCATTCCAAAGATGAGGTCATCAAAGATCTTCCTTCATTTGAAGTGGTCAACATGCCCACATATGGCCGAGTTTACGATCTTCAAGTGTAAATATTTGAAAATTAAATTTGTGGCCTGCACAGAACATTATCAGCCATGAATCACATGTACTTCTGTTTTCTCAGTAATAAGATTTTAAATAGCACTTCCTCCTAACGTCTGTGTTTGCTCAGAACAAAACCTATTTATAGTAGAATTCCAGCAAAATCCCAACTCGTCAAACCCTCCTAACACCTATTTTAACTTGCCTGTGTAAAAAAAGATCTATATATTTACCTGTATATGTCAGCCAGCTGCAGGGAAGAGGAGGGATCACTAACCACGGCTGCACCATGGGAGCCTATGGTTGACATCATCGCTCCTAGATTTCCCAGCCGTTCTTGGACACTCTATTCCTCTGCAGCTGCTGCTGGCTGACATGGGATGACGTGACTAGACCAGAGCTGGGTGAGAATAGGTAAGCTCATCAGTCATATCTAGGGTAAACACACTGTAGATTTATATCTGTAATGATGGAAAGTGAAATGATTTCATGCAGAAATAGATAGTACTTCACACAGCTAAGTGCTGTTTACCTTGGTTATACTTAATCCACCTTGGCTAAACATTTCAGGATGTCATTTCTCAGACTGATTGTATGTAACTTTGATCATCTTTGTTCACCCACACGTGCAGCTGAACACAAATTCATCGGGAAAGGTAATTTTACACTTTTTTTTTTTTTTTTTTTTTTTTTTTTTATTGCACAGCATTTTTAATAATCCTATTGTTCATTACTACGGCTAGGTTCACATCTATGCAGGTTGCATTTAAACCATTTCTGCATTGCGTTTTTGCACTTTTTTTTTTTTTTCTTGTTGCTAGACCGATTTAAAACACATGCTTTTCTGCAGCATTTCCATTGAAGTCTATAGAACCAAAAATGCAACTTTTTTGCATACAAAAAAGTCCCTGACCCTTTGCAAAAAAACGCATCGGGTGAAAACGTGCAGATGTAAACCTGGTCCATAGGAAATCATGTTAAATGGATTGTACTGCGTTTCTGCAAACCGCTGCAAAAAACGCTTAGGTGTGAACCTAGGGTAAGAGGAGATGACTTACTGTAGTAGCACCTGTGGTGACAAGCAAAAATCTGTAACATCAAAGTGTTCTGGAGTTTTGCAACCTTCCTTTTGAAAACCATATTCCACTGTAGGACTCTGTCTGTTTTCCTTAGAAACTGTCTAACCCTCTGAAGACCCTTATTGTAATCTGACCCTTCCTTGTGTTTTTCAGCCCAGGTCATTTAACCATTAGCCTACAGGGCACTTTTACCCCCTTCATGTCCAGGCCAATTTTCAGCTTTCAGCGCTGTCGCACCTCGAATGAAAATTGCGCGGTCATGCAACACTGTACCCATATGAAATTTTTATCATTTTTTTTTTTTTCACACATATAGAGCTTTTTTCTGGTGGTATTTAATAGTCACTGTGTTTTATTTTTTGCGCTCTAAACAAAAAAAGAGCAAAAAATTTGAAAAAAAAAAGTTTTTCTTTGTTTCTATATTTCTCCTTCACTGCGTTGATGAGGCGACACTGATAGGCGGCACTGATGAGGTGGCACAGATAGGCGGCACTGATGACCTGGCACTGATGTGGCACTGGTGGGCGGCACTGATCATCAGTGCCCTGATAATCCGTGCCGATCACCTCTTTGACAGTTGCTGGTTATCAGCAGTACTTTCTCATGCAGTGACAGTGCAAAGAAAGTGCAGCCGATAACTGGCAACTGTATTTACCTGGTGATCTGTTGTGTCATTGGACACAACTGATCACATGGTAAAAGGCCGCTGTGATTGGCCGTTTACCGTATCACATGATCAGCTGTGTCTGTAGGACACAGCGATCACCGGTGGCGTCGGGTGCGTGCCACTGGGGGCGCGCAGGGGGTGTGTTCTGGAATGAGGTCCATGGTAGGGAAGAGGTTAAGCTCAACAAACCACTGATATGGTTTATGGCAGTGGTGTTCAAACTGTGGCCAGAGGGCCAGATGTCCTTTTGCTTGCTTTGATCTGGCCCTTAGGGCATTAGTCCCTTCACTGCCAGGAACACTGGGGCATCATTCCTCCCACTGACACCAGTGATGGGGCACTATTCCTCCCACTGATACCAATATTGCGGCACTTTTCCTCCCCCTAATACCAAAGATAGGTCATTGTTTACTGCCACTAACACCGGGACATTTTCTGCTCCTTGGGCACCTGATGTCCTCCTTATCAACCTACGACGTCATTAGTTGTTGGGGAGCTGGCAGCTGATCTGTGCGATGTCCAAGGTTTTAATGCAGCACAACAAAAACCTGTGGCTTTGACTAGCAAAAAAAAGACAGGTTTGATTCACTTGCCAGCTTGTTGACAATTTTTTGGGCAACTTGGGGCAATTTATATGCATTTTGCCAAGGCACTCCTGATAAACCCAGGTATCCTGTTTGAAAAAGGCAGTTCTATCTGAAATTATAGTTCAAAAATTGGCATTAAATACACTTTATTTGCTTCATTTATACTATATTGTTTCCAGGCCTACATGTTTAATTTTCTAAGCTTATTAACAAATTTCATGTTTTCAGAGATGTGGATTTTTCCAGAATCTGAAATCTTCAGCATGGGATTGTGGTCCTTCAGCATCGGAGCCCTGGGAGCTGCAGTAGCTGGGATAATACTGGCCAACACTGATTATTTCCTTGCTAAAACTGAGAGAGCCACTCTAGAATATCTGGGAGATGCCGATCTACAGACTATATCAGAAGGTAGTTTTAATTGATGCTGTCCAATGTCCTGATTTTCCTTGCTTTTACATTGTTTGTAAGTGCTAGAAAATGGTTTCATGGCTTCTGAACTCTCCATCACACACACCATACCAGTGACATATTAGTCATACTGAACTTTTATTTATAACCATGCCAGAAGAAAAATTGTCATAGACAGTCTGTATTGTGCATAGTAATCAATTTTGATTCTCAGATTCCTTCTCATACTGCATACTGCATTCAAAAAAGAAAAGTAAGGTTTGCTGTTAGCATTGGAACCCTCTATGTTAGATTTTTTTTTTTTTTTTTTTTTTATGCTCCAGGAGTATATAAAGAGTTTGGAAATTCTAGAGAAATGCTTAAATAATGCATTACAATTTAATTAAACCCAGGCGACTAAAATGTACTGCAGATTTTAGTCGACTAAATTACACAAATAAACTAAAACAATTCAGATGACTAAAATACGACTAAAGCTAAAACAAATCCAGATTTGATGTCAAAATTAACACTGTTCACAAGTGTTACCAAGTTTAGTGGTGAGCTCAGACATGTTCTACTAGGATCAGAACCCACATGTTTGAGCCTGAAAGGAAGCGACCACCTGTACTGCCAATCATCTCTATCCAGGACATCCTGACCCTGCTACCACACTTTGGAAATGACCTAGATGCAGATGTTCAGTCTGTACAGGTGAGCGCTACTTGGTAGGCTTGCATACGTGGGTTCAGATCTTAGCCCTGAGCTCATTGCAGCTCAAGATTAGAAACATCACTTCAATTGATCAACCATTCATGTGCAGCCTAATATCTGACCCCTCCCCATGTTTTTTCCCACATACCTGTAGTGCTCTTCAAAGTAAATACTTATCTGCACAGCAAATCCAACACACTGTTGCTGAGATCTGTTGATCTTGTACTACACAGCCAGTTCTGTACCGCCACCACCATCTTTGTTCTCAGCGGGTTGCCTCTTCCAGGTACAGGCAGCCAGCTCAGTGATGTGCTGGATCCATCCCCCCAAAGCTGCTCTGTGTACCCATCTTGCCCCTCCTGGGATATGTCATGTAAGTATCCCAGGAGGCTGCAGGACCATGTACATGTCATTCTGGCCTAGGCCGAATGGCAGAAGGGGTGGAGCTGAAAATGTACATTAAAAAAAAAAAGGAAATAAATTCCCACAATTCTATTTCGGGAAAGGGGAGAGTGTTAAAGCAGAGCTAACTTCCCTTTGGGAGTTAAAGTGGTTTTAAAGGCTCAAGTTGTTTTTACCTTCATGTATTCTATGCAGTATTCTATTCTGTGCATAGTGGCCCTTCCAGGTCCCGCCCACTCCTATCTAGCAATGTTCTCGACAGCAGCCTCTGCTGTCTGGGGACTCTTCCTCCTCATTGGCTGAGACAGCTGTGGGAGCCCATTGGCTCCTGCTGCTGTCAATCACTGCCAGTGAGGAGAGAGCGGGGTGGGGGGTTGGGATGAGCTGCGGTTCTATGTGTCTTATGGATGCATAGAGCAGCAGCACGTGGATGAGAACACAGCGGTGCCCCCAGGGCGAGCGACTTTACCTGGGGGGCACTGCTTGAGGGGTAGGAGGGGACCTGAAAAGAAGAGGATCAGGGTTGCTCTGTGCAAAACCACTGCACAGAGCAGGTAAGTATAGGCATGTTTTGTTATTTAAAAAAAACCCAAAGCTTTAGTGACACTTTAAGTTCTACTTTAAGTGAAATTAATGGCAGTATATACCATATGTGTATTATTATTACAGGTATGTTTTTTTAAAACGTATACACTATATTGCCAAAAGTATTGGGACGCCCCTCCAAATCCATTGGATTTAGGTGTTCCAATCACCTCCATGGCCACAGGTGTATAAAATCAAGCACCTAGGCATGCAGACTGCTTCTACAAACATTTGTGAAAGAATGGGTCACTCTCAGGAGCTCAATGAATTCAAGCGTGATGCCGTGATAGATTGCCACCTGTGCAGTGAGTCCCTCCATGAAATTTCCTTGCTACTAAATATTCCATGGTCAACTGTTAGTGGTATTATAACAAAATGGAAGCAGCTGGGAACAACAGAAACTCAGCCATGAAGTGGCAGGCCACGTAAAATGGCAGAGTGGAGTCAGCGCATGCTGAAGGGCACAGTGCGCAAAAGTTGCCAACTGTCTGCAGAGTCAATAGCTAAAGACCTCCAAATTTTGTCGCCTTCAGATTAGCACAACAGTATGTAGAGAGCTTCATGGAATGGGTTACCATGGCCGAGCAGCTGCATCTAAGCCTTACATCACCAAGTGCAATGCAAAGCATTAGATACAGGTGTTTAAAGCACAACACCACTGAACTCTAGAGCAGTGTAAACGTGTTTTCTGGAGAGACAAATCATGCTTCTCTATCTGGCAATCAGATGGATGTGTCTGGGTTTGGCGGTTGCCAGGAGAACGGTACTTGCCTGACTGCATTGTGCCAAGTGTAAAGTTTGGTGGAGGGGGGGGGGGGGATTATGGTGTGGGGTTGTTTATCAGGGGTTGGGCTTGGCCCCTTAGTTCCAGTGAAGGGAACACTTAAGGTGTCAGCATACAAAGACATTTTGAACAATTTCATGCTTCCAACTTTGTGGGAACAGTTTGGGGATGACCTCATCTGTTCCAACATGACTGCACATCAGTGCACAAAGCAAGGTCCATAAAGACATGGATGAGGGAGCTTTGGGTGCATGAACTTGACTGGCCAGCACAGAGTCCTGACCTCAACCAGATAGAACACCTTTGGGTTGAATATGGTGCACCATCTAGAACAATCCTTCAGTTCTTGTCTCGGAGACGTAACACAGAGTGAGAGAAAAATCTCCCAAAGTGAGGAGAATTCCCTTCTTGAACAGTTGTCCCCATTGTCCCCTAATATTTTGTTTTGGGGACAACTATAAAATTTAGTCTTTCCCCCTCACTCTCCTCCTTCTTGACAATGGTCTCCAATACTAACAGAATGGTGTATTCCTCCAATGGACTCTGACAGCAGTAAAAAAAATGAACAGATTTCATAGCCCTTCTCCATTCTAGAAAAAAAAAATTGCCTAGAGTCATTGAAGAGTTTTTTGTATAGCAATCCACCACACTCAGTAACTGCTAAGTTAGTAATTTATTGTAATTAGTCTAATAAAATTATTTCTAATATGTGATAATGATTATTTGTATTTAATAAACTAACCAGAAGTATTGATGTAAAAAAAAAGCATAAAGTAATTGTAAAATTCTTTTACATATTTAAGTTTATTCATCCATATTCTAGTAATTATAAAGTGTTACTTAACCCAGGACCCTGCATTACCTATATCTGGTCTCCCTCAGTACACAAAACATGGAAAGCCAATTATTTTAGTAAATATAACCTGCTAAATACCTTTTCTCATCAGCAAAATATAGCAGTCTTGTGACTTCTATCAGTGTCCACTGGTTAACTTTGCAGGCGTTTTCATTCTCCTGACTGTCCCATGAGGCTGCATGATCCCTAACCATCTTTCTGGACAGTTGGACAGTTCTGATTGGCCCTGTGCTGATCACACGCACCCCCCCCCCCCCCCCCCAAAAAAAAAAGTTTCTAGCAATACACATCAAACTGAGCATGTGCAGAGTGCCTCCTAGGGTTCTGTACTACTGGCAGATGACAGGATCAAACAGCCTTTTTGCACAATGCAGAGGATTAACCCCTTAGGTTCCACAGTGAGTATAACAAGCATGCTTTACTGCATATACAGACTCATTTTACTGTTGTGGCTTTAGTAACACTTTAGGAGTGAAAACAGTTTTTTACATTCTCTTTAGTATGTTAGAACTCTTGTAATAGAAGCAGTATTCAATATAATAAAAGTCTACCACTGACTCAGTAGTGGAAAGCTGCATTTAGATGGGAAACCAGAAAATCTGCAGAATCATCATTGCAGCAGGCGGAGTGAATTTTGTATTAAATTTTAACAATAATCCCGTCAATGACTGACTCACCAAAAACTGTTATTCTACTTGATTAATGGAATGCTGCATGCTCAAACCCTTATTGAGACAATTTCCCTTTTTTAAAGGCACTTTTGTATAGAAAATTATAATTGCTTTCCAAACATCTTGTTTAGTATACAGTATTTACTTCATTCAAGATTGGATAAGCTGTGTGATCTGCAGATGATAGATATTTTTTTTTGTTGTTACTACTACTACTACAGGTACTTATATAGCACCATCAATTTACACTGTGCTTTACATATATATTGTACATTCACTTCAGTCCCTAACCCTCAAGGGGCGTACAATCTATGGTCCCTAACTCGCATTCAATCATACACATACTAGGGCCTATTTAGACAGGAGCCAATTAACCTCCCAGCATGTCTTTGGAGTGTGGGAGAAAACTGGAGGAAACCCACACAGGCACAGGGAGAACATGTTGGGATTTGAACCAGCGACCCTAGTACTATCAGGCGGAAGTACTAACCATTTAGCCACTGTGCTGCTGTTTAACTGCAAATGACTTGCATAATATGGAGCCAACTACAGCACTGGCTCTGTACTAAACCAGAACTAGTCCTAAAAAAGAGAATATTCAATAAAGAGTGAAAATATTGATATTATTATTCAGGATTTATATAGCGCCAACAGTTTGCGCAGCACTTTACGATATAGAGGGAGACAATACAATTACAATACAGTTCAGTACAGAAAGAATAGGAAGGCCCTGCTCATGGAGCTTACAATTATAATTTGTGAATCGCTGAATCTAACACATAATATATCATGATCCTGAACTTGCACTATTGCAGTAGTCTCGTGGGTATATTACACCACAAATATATTAAATTCTAGCCAATTCTTTTTTTTGGATATGGTGAACCTGTAGATGTCAGTATCCCCACTGTGGATATTTCCTCTGATTTCTCATCTTGTCGCTGAGATAGGAAATCAGGAACAAAGATGGACGTATAGCTGCTGTAAGGATTTCCTCTGTCTTCCTGTCACAGTTATCAGGTGTCACCAGGATAGGAAGTAAGAGAAAATCTCTCTAAATGGGATGCAATAGCAATAAAAATCTGACATAAATAACATAATCACGTAATTCCCATTATGTTTGAAGTCTTTATATTCTTCGCTGTATGTACACAGTGGAGTTGATTTACTAAGGCAGCCCATAGAAGATAGTGGGTTTTTTTTTTTTTTTTCATGAACAAAAAAAACCTGACACGATTCTTGCCACTCCCATCCCCACACTTGTACCGTAGTCGACTGGTAGATCGAATTCTGTACAACTTACCTGTCCATACGTGGATCGAAATTTGTCCGCCATGGACAGCTTAAAGGCAAATGGGCTGTTCGCTTTGCAAGGAAATTGTGAATGAGGCAAAGCTCTGCTGACTTCTATCATCCAATCATGTACAAGCAAAAATGCTGTTTTTTTTTTATTTTGCATGTGATTTGAGTTTTTCCTTTACAATGGAATTTGTCCCAGACCTAAGCGAGTGTGGTAAAGCTTCACCTTGTAAAGTGCATCTTTTCTTCCAAAGTGAACAGCCTATTTGCCTTTAGAAAATCACCCCCATTGTGTATCGCACAAACCATCTCTCTGCTGCCTCTCGCCATGTGGCTTTGTATAAAGTTAATGTGACATTAAATTCTGGTTAAAAACAAAAATACTCTAATTTCCTGTTGCATCTCTGGGACAAGAAGTGAAGGGAAATTTTCCCTTCGGGGATCAGCAACCTGTAGATCGCAGCCATGTGACTGGTAGATCACGGTCTGCGATTGCTGACCCACCACCCCAGAGCATCTAACAGAGTGCAGCGCAGAAGGACTACTTGTAAAGTTGTAGCATAAGCCGTTGCCTCCTTGTGTAGTGCTGGCTCCTGTCCCATGTGAAGTGATACCGGCTAGCAGTTTCCAGAGTGGTGCCAGCCAGTGGTGTATATTAGGGTTTGTGCTGCCATAGGCAACACAAAAATTGTGCGCCCTCCCTATGAGAGTCAGTCTCTCTCTCTCTTTCTCTCTCCCTTAAGTGTTGTGTTCTCTGGGCTCTCCCTGCTGTCGTCCATGCAGCATGTGAGACAGACGCACACACAGTATGATTACCACCCCCTACCCACGTTTCCTGCTGCTGGGAGATGAGCAGCCCTTGGAGGAGGTAGGGGGCGGTAATCATACTGTGTGTGTGTGTGTGTGTGTACATTCCCATACAATCTATCAGTGATCCTGTCTCATGTGCTGCATGGATGACAGGAGGGAGAGCCCAGAGATCACAACATAGCTCACCTCCTCCTGGCTTTTTCCTCTCCCCCAATTCTCTCCCTGCTCCTGGCTTTCCCCTGGTCCCAGTTCTGAGTGCGGGAGGGGGAAGGAGCTCAGCGGCCACTTATGAAAACCAGGGTACCCCCTCAATCCGGCCAGGTCTGTCTCTCCCTCCAGCAACAGAACAGAAAGCCAGTGGGAGGGAGAGGGGGAGAAACCGGCTTTCAGCTGCTGGAGGGAGAGATACACAGGGTATTGTTCTGCAGCTGCTCTTCCCCCCCCCCCCCCCATCCTCCTGCTGTCTGGGCCACCTACAGGAGTACCGGTGGGATCTCTCAGATGGCGGCCGTGCATGGCTCAGTCCGCTGCTGATCACCAGGTCCCTTGTTCCGAGTGGCAGTGCCACCCCCCTAAAAATTCCCGCGATAGGCAAACTCCTTGTTGCCAGCAGCAGTAAAGAAGAGGTCTTCAGGTCAGTGTGAAGCAATACACTGGGCATAATAGTATAGGGCTGCTTTCACACTGATGTGCTGCGGTTTACCCACACTGCGGGTTCAGTGCAGTGTACCTGCAGCTTTCTTGCGGGTTTGCTGTTCTGAGCCATATACTTCTATTATATCCTGCGTGTTTGATGCACTTTCTGAAAGAGCACCTGAATGCAAGAGCTTTGGTGAACTTTTAGAAAGTGCATCGCACTGCAGAATATTTATTTATTTTTCCACGCTGTCACTTTAAAAAAAAAAAAAATTATCACTTTTATTGCTGTGCTGTCACAAAGAATGTAAACATGTGACATTTACTCTTTTATATGTACAGATCTGGGGTCAATAACCCCAAATTCTTCCTCTGCCTTTAAAAGCTTTCAAAACCCCATGATTAGAGTGCCTGAATGCTTTTTAAAAAATGGTGTTGTGTATTTGAGTAAACCGAAAGTGATGTCAGGTCATCACTTCCGGTTTACGGTTTGCCTCAGCCAAACAAAGCTGATCCGGTCTTTTTGGATCTGTGACCAGCCGGCGGCAGCACCAGCTGGTCAATTGGGACCCCCGGTAGGACAGCAGATCCTATTAAAGAGGAGGGAGTGGGTGGGACCTCCCCCTCCTCTGTTCGTAATAGCAATCAGAGACGCTAACTAGCCGCTTGATTGCCATTACAAGACTGTAGGCTCTAAATGACGGTACCAGAGTGATGCCTGCAGCTGCAGGCATCATCATAGTACAACCACTTGAAGACTGGTGATGTACCAGGTACATGACTAGTAGGCAAGCGTTTAAATATCAAACACTAAAGCTCAGTCACGAAGACTCGAGTTGAATGTAACAGTCCATTAAATATTATATAAATTTGCTGTGCTACAATGGTATGGTTCTCAAAATAAGTATCACAAAAACTTGAGTGAAAATAAAACAAGTCCAAACTGTGAAAATAACAATACAGTCCCAGTGATCTGTATAGGTGATTGACCACCAAGTGTCTTAAAAAAAAAAACTAGTGCTTCACCACCAGGTAATGGTAGGACTTTTACCAGAACATGTGGACCCTTAAATGATTTAAGAGTCGCAAACGCATGGATGTATTATTCCAAAGGTATATGTCCACCGTGTCCCTCAAATTTGGGAAAGATACTGCACCATAATAATGGATGGAAAGGATGCCTTCAAATTCTCCCCATTCATATTTTCTCACAATTAGTACCTCTCAATATTGCCATGCAAAAAAAAAAACAAAGGAGCAACCATTGCATAAAAGCACGTTTATTGAGAGAAAGTATAGCACTCACAATTGGGTAGACAAATAAGCGCTGTACATAAAATATCCTCCGGTCTCAGGAACCGATTCACTTCCTAGTATTGGAAAGCAGCGTGATGACATCAGAAGCACAGGCTCCACCTGACGCATTACGCCACACTTTTTCACTTTTTGCGCAGTTTTTCTTTTAGATTTTGAACAGTCCATTAAAGTCTTTAAAGTGGAGGTCCAGTCAAGATTAAAAAGTCAGCAGCTACAAAACTGTAGCTGCTGACTTTTAAAAAAAACAGACACTCGCCTGTCCCTCTATCCTGCGTTGTCCTCACACCAGCCGGGTTCACCAGCCACCCTGTGTCCCCGGTACTGGCATCTTAAGTCTGGACACCTGGCTGTGATCGCTTGCTGCTTCACAGCTGGGTTCCCACTGTGCATGGTCCCATAGTCTTCTGGGACCTGTCACGTGTCCCAGAAGACTACGGGGAGGGAGGGGGAAGAACAACTTCTGCTTTCAATCGCCTAGGCGATTGCAGCAGAATTGGGAGCTTGTACCTGTCAAATCTGGGTACCCCCCTCTCCCCAAAGGTGCCAATCCTTAACGGAGAGCGGTGGACGAAGCCTTAAAGCGGAACTTCCCCTTTTGGGTGGAGCTGCTTTAATCACACTGTCCAACCACAATAGTGGGTGACAATTGTTACTGTTTATGCAGCACTTTACAATATAGAGGGGGACAGTACAATTACAATACAGTTCAATACAGAAGGAATAAGAGGACCCTGGGAGGAGCGGAGAGGACGGTTTGAGCGATATCTGCAGATGAGGTTGGTGATTGTAGCCGAGGTAGCAATGTTGTGGATGGCCTTGTATGTTGTGGTTTAGTATTTTGAATTTTCACTACAATTACACTACTCTACATTCACTACAATTCCCTGTGGTTGATGGGAACTGTAGTTTCCTTTTACTGCAGTGAGATAGGAGAGGATATGATGTAATCCCTGCTTTTACACCTGCTCCTTGGCAGAGCAGGTGCTGTTCTCTTTTGAATTACATTTGAGATGAGGTCATGAAAATTCAATTAGACTTTTCTCCTAAATGGTAAGGAGTTTCAAAATCTTAACTGTTTAGTGTTTTGTATAGGGGGTGTACTAATGGGTGATTTTTTATTTATTTTTTTTTCTGCTTATCCCAGAGTTCTTTTTTAAATATGACAGACAATGGAACTTAAACTTGCCCATTCCTCTGCAGAATCACGAACATTCAAAGCTAAAGAACTGTGGGAGAGGAAAGGAGCTGTGATTATGGCTGTACGAAGACCTGGATGTTTTTTGTGCAGAGAGGTAAATGACTAATAACATAAGTTATGTATCACACTTTTGCACTGTATTCATTATGTTACTGTGTTCATTATAATCTAATGTTAGAATAGGAATATTATGCTGTCTACACTACAATGTAAGGGTATTAAAGTGAATGTTAACGCTGAATTCCAGGAATTCAGGGACTTTGCAGAGTTCAGGCATACTCTGGAGTTAAGTCCAGTTGGGTGCATGTCACCTCCGGGACTTATACCTATTACTTGTATGTAACAGATTTATTGCACTCGTGAACAATACACTACTTAACCACCTCCTGTCAGGCCGTTGTATATAAACGGCTGGACGGTGGCACTGCAGGGTCGGGTAGCCGTTTATACACGGCCTCCCCGAATCCTGCTTGTGCGCACTCCCTGGGAGCACGCAGCACCGCGATCCGGTGCCTGCTGTGTCCTCCGGACACAGTGAAACACCGATCGTCGGATGGGACCTCTGTACGAGGTCCCGATCATGTGATCGCTGATTGGCCAATCAGTGATCACATGCAAAGCAGTAAGCAAGATGACACTTGTGACATCATTGCTTACTACGTGTTAAATCTGTGAATGATCACATAGGTCACATGATACAAGGCTATTCACAACAGCCTTGTACCATGTGACAAACTGTGACCAATCACAGCTCACTCAGTGGTTCTCAATGACTGCAAGAATGCAGACAGAGAGAGAAATTATTGCTTTTAAATCCTATATGGGTGTAAAAGCAATCAGTGTAAAAAAAAAAGAAAAAAAAATCTTCATCACCCCCCACTAGTACAGTGTCACCATGGTGACACTGTACTGCTAGGGTGACAGTATGTTAAAAAAAAAAAAAAAGAAATATATAAAAAATGTAAAACAAAATGTTTAAAAATTTATAATTTTTGGTTATAAACTAATTTGGCTTTTTTTTTTTTTTTTTTTTTTTACTAAAAAGATAACGGAATAAATTTTGGCCAGGATTTATGTTGAAATATTATTTATTTGCAAAATTTTATAAGAAAAACACTTTTTTTTTCAAAAGTTTTGGACTTTTTCATTTACATAGCAAAAAAAAAAATCCCAGCGGTGAATAAATGCCACCAAAATAAAGTTTTATCTGTCTCAAAAAAATGGTAAAAAATTCATATGGGTACAGTGTTGCATGACCACGCAATTGTCATTCAAAGTGTGATAGCGCTGAAAGCTGAAAATTGCCCTGGACAGGAAGGGGGTAAAAGTGTCCGGACATGAATTGGTTAAGAGCACACTGAGGATTGGCTTTGATTGGCTCTCCGCTATAGTAAGCTGGAAATGATGACCTAACATCACTTCTGGTTTACCCGGATGTCAACAGCTCCATTTTTTTAAAAAAGTTGAAAGCATTCAAAAACACTGATCTTGGTGTTTTGAATGCTTTTAAGGGCAGACCCCAGATCTCTCCATAAAGAGTACCTGTCACATGCCTATTGCTGTCACAAGGATGTTTACATTCTTAGTGACAACAATAAAACTGAGTAAAAAAAATTTTAAGCAACAATGTAAAAATAAAAAAAATTAATTGATAATTTTTAAAAAACAAAGTGCCCTGTCCCCCTGTGCTCGCATGCAAAGGTGGACGTGTACGCCGGTCCTGCACGCATGCAAACAGTGATTGTCCCACACATGAGGTATCATCGTGAACTTTATATCATGGACAGTAATTCTAGCACTAGATCTCCTCTGTATATCTAAAATGATAACCTGTAAAGGCTGTTAAAGTATCTCCTATGGATGGTAAAATTTCCATTGTTTTGTCGCCACTGCACACGTATGCAATTTTAAATCGTGACGTTTGATATCTATTTACTCGGCATGGCATCATCTTTTATATTTTTCCAAAAAATTGGGTTTTATATTGCTTTATGCGTTAAAATAAAAGTGTCTTTTTTCCCAAAAAATTGTGTTTGAAAAAATGCTGCGCAAATATTGTAGGACATAAAAAATTGCAAAAAACCCATTTTGTTCTTTTTTATGTCACATGATATTGCCACAATTTCTGTAAAAAATACACTAAAGTTAATTTTAGAGCACACAAACGCAATAAAAATACCCAATTTTTTGGGAATATATAAAAGAGAGTTGCACTGAGTAAATATAGTAGATACCCAATATGCTTAGGTGTAACATTTTTTACAATTTGAAAAAAAAATTATACTTTTTTTTTTTTTTTTTTACCACATATGCGATGATTTTTTGGGGGACAGGTTCTCTTTAATGAGACGTCCTAAAAGACCCTGGATGTCATCCCTGTGCTCCATTGAATGTAATGCAGTGCAGATCGCATTGAATTACATTCTTTCCCGGCCACACTGGCCAGGGAAATTGACCGCAACAACAAGGGGAGAGGATGTGTGTCTCTCTCCCCTCTACCCAGCAGTACCCATTTTGCTGGATCCTCAGATGGGCAAGAAAAAGCTTGGGATGTGTTGGGGGCACCAATTACCAGGGAGTGTGAAAGACATTAGGCGCTGGACTGCTTTCATATGACAGGCAAAAGTTGGCTTGTAAGATATACACACACTTCTGGTGGCTGAAGCCACAGGGAGTGTGTGTAAAACCCCCGCTGTCAGATCTGTACAGCGTATGGATTTGGCAGCAAAAGGGTAAAGAAGAACTAAACTCCCCAGTATACATACCTCTACATTCCAGCGATCTGGCGGTTACGTCTCTCGCCAGCCTCTGTCATCTCCTCTCCAGGTACTGGGTTTTTGCCTCTATGATTGGCTGGTAGGAGATGACGTCATCCTGCGCATGTGCACGGAAGTCAGTCATTCCAGCTGCACTTTCACAGCTCCGTGTACATTTGGTAGAAAACAGGCAGGCACCTTTTTGTTTTATTGCAAACATAATATGTCTCTTCTACAATCAAAACTGCCTGCTCAGTTTTCTGAAAGTAAGGTTTAGTTCCACATTAGGGAAGTGACAAACAAATTAAAGCCCATCTCCAGCTAACACTTTTTAAACATTTATACCAACAATTCTTTTTCTTTTGGGATAAAAGTTTAAACCTTATAAATATCTGACCATTCTACGCACCTCCACCAGGGTAGTATGGTTTGGGCCAACCACTATAAATTTATTTTGCTGGTCATCATGGCCTGTTGGAGGAAGTGGAAAAATAATAGATTTTCTGGCCAAATCAGCAGGGAATAAAACAATGTTATGGAGAAACTAATAAAAAAAACGGATGTGTTAATACTATTGATTAACTTCATCATATATGACCTTTTTAATTTTGCCCTTGGTAACACTTTAACTGCCCTGTACTAAACCTCAGTTGTAATTATAAGGGTCTGTTGACACCTGGTGTGTTTCCCAGTGCATTTCTAATTCACGACAAGGCAAAACACCCTTTTTCCCATCATGCCAGTTCACACTGGTGCAGCTGTAGGAAAACTATATGCAGAACTTTTCTTAGCGCAGTGTGGTGCGATGCAATGCACTGAACCGCATTGAGGCCAGTAGAGTTTAAAGTGATTTGTTAGCCTATGATTTTTATTTTTTTAAATGATAAACATGTTAGACTTACCTGCTTTGTGTAATGGTTTTCACAAAGCAGCCCTGATCCTTATCTTCTGGGGTCCCCCACCGATGCTCCTGTTTCCTCCCCCCTGCTCAGTGCCCCCCATAGCAAACGCGTGCTCGCTCCTGAGCCATGCTCTGTGTGTTCAGAGACACACAGAGCTCAGCTCCAACCCCCGCCTCTCCTTACTGGCTGTGACTGACTCCTTCTGCTGTCCATTGGCTCCTTCTGATGTCCCTCAGCCAGGAGAGAGAGCTGAAAGAGTCGCTGCTCTTGTGCACATTGCTGTATCGAATCTAGCCTGTCAGATGTAGGGGTGCAGCAAAAAATGTCAGGGGTGAAGAGGATGCAAGGTCAGGAGGGCAGTGTACAGAGGACAGGGGGTCAGAAGGGCAGTGTACAGGGGTCAGCAGGGAGGAGGACAAGGACAGGGGGTTAGAAGGGCAATGTACAGGGGGGAGGACAGAGGGTCAGTAGGGCAGGGTACAGGGGTCAGCAGAACAGAGGACGGGGGGGGGTCAGTAGGGTAGGGTACAGGGGATCAATCCCCACTCAACTTTCCTCCTAGCAAAGATCACCGCCCCCCCCCCCATTACCCTTCCCAGCACAAATAGAAAATCACTGCAGATCGGGGGGTATTCTCTCCCTCTTGTCATAGCAGCGCCCCTCCATATAGCACCTGACACCGGACCCTAGATCCGGCCATGGGCTGGGGAGAGAGCAGACCACAGAAGGTTTTTACCTTAATGCATTAAAGTGTTACTAAACCAGGGACCCTGCATTAATTAAATCTGGTCTCCACAGTACACAGAACATGGAAATGCAATTATTTTAGCAAATATAAACTGCTAAATGCCTTTTCCCATCAGCAGTTAGAGCAGTCTTGTGACTTCTATCTGTCCAGCAGAGCACTGGTTAAAGCTTGTAGGGGGAGTTTTCATTCTCCCCTGATTGTCCTATGAGACTGCATAACCCTGATACTCTGTCTGAACAGTGCTGATTGGCCCTGGGCTGATCACATGCACTGTCCCAAGAACAAAAAAATCTTTAGCAATACACAACAAACTGAGCATGTGCAGCTTGCCCTCAAGGCTCTGTACTATTGGCAGATGGACTGGGGACAGCAGGAAAGGAGGAGGATCAGAGAAGAAAGGATTAAACCCCTTTTTTACGTAATGCAGAGGATTAACCCCTTAGGTTCCACTATGAGTATAACAGGCATGCTTTACTGCATATACAGACTGATTTTACTGTTGTGGGTTTAGTAACACTGTAAGTTGAAAAACCTTGTAGCTTTACAACCACATTAATTAACTATAACTTTGTGACATTTCAGTAGTGTTTGCCTAACCACCCCCCCCCCCCCCCTAAAAAAAAAAAGCAAACAGTGTGATGCAGTGTGATACCACTGCCCGCACATCATTGACTGCGTTCTAACGCAGCTGCTGGTATGAACGGGCCTTCTCTTGCACTTATTGAACAAGAATTTGCTGTTGTCATTTGTATCCAAAAGGTATTGAATGAAGCCTGAAATGAATCATAAGATGGAAAATATTTTCCATGCAGCTTCAAAAAAATGTGCATACAAATTGGTTCAGATTCTACTGAACCGAACAATTCATACAATGGAAATGTGTTTGGGTTATGCCACTAGCAGTTGATTTCCTTGAGTGACATCAATGACAGGTACTATGAGTTCCTTTTTATAGCTTACATACCAAACAAATTCCATTATTCTGCAACAGATTTATTTTAAGAACTGTGCAAAGTATTACCGGTGTTTTGATATTATTACTCTAAAGACCTGAGATTATGATAACAAAGAGGCACGTCAGTAAAAAGCATGTCAGAAATCTTCCCATTCAGAGGGAACTGAGTAAACAATTGGCAACAAATTCTTAACTTAGTAACCTGGGGTGAACTTCTCACATATAGTTCTGTGAAGGAAGCTGAACAGAAACCAAGAATTCTTGTTTTTTTACTATATGTATTTAACATATATATTATATATAACAAAAAATGTTGAATGCCATTTACATACAGTAAGTGGTACAAAATTGTAAGTCAGTAAAACATAAAACACAATGGTGATTTGGTGCACTTGAGAAGTCTCTTTTGTGATAGATTGAACATGTAAAAAAAATATGTGATTAGTTTATTCAAGGAATATGTATTTGTCATGTAGTAAGCAGTTATACTTTCATAATACTTTTATTATGTTTTGTTCATGTACCTTTATAAAAAAATAGATTTTGTGGTATTTCAGGAAGCTGCAGGGTTGTCATCACTTAAGTCAGAGCTTGACCAGCTTGAAATCCCGCTATATGCTGTGGTGAAAGAAAAGATTGGAAATGAAGTAGAAGATTTTCAGCCTTACTTTAAAGGGGAGATTTTCCTTGATGACAAGGTATGTGTATGGTATAGTTTGTTCAACATCCTAGATTACTGGGCTGGATCTAGGCTGTGAACCAGTGACATTTATAATAGTCATGCTTGCTCATATCTTCACTTTACCTTGTACTAATCAGTAAAATATATCCGTTAACCTGTGACGTAGCCTTTTCTGATAGTGATGATGAGGGCTCAGAACCTAAAGCTGGCCACACACTGAATTTCTGACGATTCAGGCAATATGAGCTGTGGGTGGTCTTGTTGGCACGAGCAAAGCTTGATTGAAAAATCAAAGGAGCCAGCTGGAAAATTGTTGGCACAGATGCTTAAATACTTGAACAGTGACTGAATCTGATGCAGCCACTGTTTAGGCATTCATGTAACTACAGTTTCTGTTGCTGCTTGAATATAATTGCTAGCACTGGGGATTCCTCCATCTGTGCTGTCTAGCCCTGATGGGGGAATCTCTCAATTTCTTTTCATCCAGCTTGTTGAGCTGACGAGAAATCTAAACGTGTATGCCTAGTTTAACTCCTTGGCGCCAAGCATCTGCAAAAAAGCAGCCTCTTGGCGGCTGGGACTTGGTGCCAAGGGGCTGTATACCCAATGTAAACAAAACGTGGCGAGAGTGCACACTCCAGGCACATTTACTGGCGCCTCACAGAAAGGGGCTTTCTGATCATGTGACAGCCAACCATGGTGTCCGATGACCCTAACCCCACTCCCCCTCCTGCCGTCACATACCTCTTAAATGGCAGGGAGGCGCCGGCGCCAAGGGGTTAAAGGTATTCACAGTTAGTAAACTGCCATTGCCCCATATGGATGATTTTATTCACATTGGGCAGTAAGGGTAACCTCTGTGTTTATGGCCATGTTTAAATTGTACAGACACACCAACTGATCATTCTTTAGGCTAGGTTCACACCTGTGTGGGTGATTGCCACTGTGGGACCCACACCTGTTCCCGCAGCCACAACCACCCACACACGTGGAAGATGCGGGCGGTTGCCAGTAATGCTAGTGCTACACAGCTCGCACTGGGAACCGCACTGTACTTGTAGTTTCTGTGTGGGCTGCAATTCCAAAACTGGTGCAGGGAACTTTTCCCTGTGTTTCAGGAGACATGGCAGCCCATTCAAATGATGGTTTTGTTATACAAAAAAAATTGTCCTACTTACCTGCTCTGTGCAATGGTTTTGCGCAGAGCAGCCGAGATCCTCCTCTTCTTGGGTCCACCACCAGTGCTCCTGACCCCTCCCTCCTGCCAAATGCCCCCACAGCAAGCAGCTTGGGGCTCAGGTAAGTATGGGGGGTTCTGCTGCACACAGAATTTGTATTTACCTTCATGCATAGAATGCATGAAGGTAAACCTTGAGCCTTTACAACCGCTTTAAGGAATCCTTTTCCCAAAGTATGATTGTCCCGAGGAGTCTTTCAGAGCCTGAAAATTCTTGTATACGTAGCACTTGTCCCACTGCAGGTAACTTACTACTCTCTATACTTAGAATCACCATCCGACCAGATCCATGTGCCAGATGCCTATAGACTCCTGTAAAATAAGAGTGTTACATAGGGTGGTGCATAGATATGCCAGCTATGTACTGTAAGTGTTTATATCCGTATACCTGTCTATAACAAAAAGATTTGTTTCGCACTCATATGTGTACCCTCCCTCGTGTCACTGGCCAATGTATGTTCACAAAAAAGGCACCCACTTGAATGCCCATGCATCATATAATATGACCTTGCATGTCCTGTGACTCATAGTACTGATCTGTACTCAAGTAAAATCTATCTCAACTGGTCCTCCATTGAAGAAGTTTACTGAGGCTCTCTCATGTAGTTGTTGGACAACATCTGAATGACCATTCTAGTGGTGACAGCCATCTAAATCAATACTCACACAGCCTGTTTGGAGGTTGTCTAGCCTTGCAGCCCAAATATGCTGCAACGACAAAAAAAAAACTATTCCCTGCCAGCCAAATAGTTTCTATATTACATAATGTACATATATCACTTTAATTCATGGTTGTCATGTGGATCAATGACAGATGCAGCAGCCTTGAATTATGGGGAGTTTAGTACCTGCTCACTCCACACATTACAGCAATATAAAGAACTGTTAAGCTGGTAATACTTTTCAATAAGTATGTATATAACAATCCTTTTACTTTTATTGTCATGTTTCTTTAGAGGTGTAAAAATGGTATTGCTTTGTGGCCTAGCCTTTTAACCCCTTGAGGACTGCCCACCCACAATGTACTGTGGATGAGCGGCCCAAACCGGCAAAGCGACTTACCTGTACATCACTGGCCTTTTCTGGGTACAGAGCATTCGCGCCCCCTGTTTTGTAAGCAGGTCCTGGCCAATTATTCATGGCCGAGACCTACTGATCGGCTGTGTCCAATAACTGTCAAGAGCCCTGTGTTGGCAGTCAACACACTGCTCTGTACTGAGGGAGCAATCTTTGTTTCTTCTTCCTGCATGAAGGGGGTAAAACCTCCCGGAGCTCTCGAGTTACCATTGGTGCAGTATTGTTTGTAATTGTGGATGCAGCCAATTAGGAACAAGGCTGAAAAAACCAACCGGAAAAAAAGTTCTAAAACTTGATAAATATTGGTTACCATACTTCTAAACACAACCTTCGCATAACCCCTAAAACATAGCCCTTACTCTGAAGGCTAGTTTATACATATCCCTGTTGCACATGGTGTAGGGAGACACAACTCTAGTCCCTGCTTGGAAGTGTGGCTCCATAGTTTGCTGCAAGGAAAAGGAGCCACACAAAAACAGCAAACCTGGGGCAGTGGTACAGCAGCAACCTAAACAGGAATGCAAGCAGGGATTAAAAGATAAAGAAGCTGCATACCCAGTAAATGATTAAATCAGCTGGTGAAAGTGCTAACAAATGAGGGTTTAAGATCGAAATGTTACTTGGCTAACCTCAAAAGGTTTCACAATCAATAAGAAAACAGCTATGCAGATATAACACTGATAACATCAATCATGTGAGATGGAAATGTTTGTACACCAAAGTGTTTTCCGTATGTGTGGCAGTATGCGTCAGTTTTCCTAGGCAAGTTGATTTTTGTGAATCTGTTGTAAAGTTTTTTTTTTTTTTGTACCTGGAGATCTTGACAATAACAGCACTTCCTGTTCCAGGCTGACCACACTAAACCACATTTTTACAATTAGGCAGTTCAAGTCAAATGGAAAGCTACAGATACTGTTCCTATCTGACAGACCTGATTACAAATGAAGCCAAAAAAGCTCTGAGACTGACTGCTTTTTAATATTTTTTTTTTCTCTTAATTTCCAAACAACACTTTTACATTGTGGGGCTGTGTTCCCACTAATAAGTTGTAGAGTGTGTGTATATAATATATTGCTAAAAAAAATGAAAGGATTAGGTCACCTAAACTCCTGGGACATTAATCTGGTTAGTTAGCATAGGGGGTTGTTAATCAGTTTCAGCTGCTTTGGTGTTAATGAAATTAACAGGTACACTAGATGGGCAACAATGAGACAACCACCAAAACAGGAATGGTTTTACAGTTTGAGGCCACTGACTTTTTTTTCCCTACTCATCTTTTTTGACTGTTTTTCACTAGTTCTGCATTTAGCTAGGGTCAGTGTTACTACTGGTAGCATGAGGCGATACGTGAATCCTACAGAGGTTACACAGGTAGTCCAACTCCTCCAGAATGGCACATCAATACGTGCCATTGCCAGGTTTGCTGTATCTCCCAGCACAATCTTAAGAGCATGGAGGAGATTCCAGGAGACAGGCAGTTACTCTAGGAGAGCTGGACAGTACTGGTATCTGCTCCTTTGTGTAAGGGGAACAGGATGAGCACTGCCAGAGCCCTACAAAATGACCTCCAGCAGGCCACTTGTGTGAATGTCTGACCAAACAATCAGAAACAGACTTCATGAGGGTGGCCTGAGGGCCCGACGTCTTCTAGTGGGCCCTGTGCTTACTGCCCGGCACAATAGAACTCGATTGGCATTTGCCATTGAACACCAGAATTGGCAGGTCTGCCACAGGAGCCCTGTGCTTTTCACAGAGAAGAGCAGGTTCACCCTGAGCACATGTGACAGACATGAAAGGGTCTGGAGAATGTGAAGCTGTCTGTAACATCATTCAGCATGACTTTTTTTTTGGTGGTGGGTCTGGGAAGGCATATCCATGGAGGGATGCACAGACTTCTACAGGCTAGTCAATGGCACCCTGACTGTCATTAGGCGGCTACGCTGGTGCAGTGGGTCCTGGGTTCCTCCTGGTGCACGACAAAGCCTGGCCTTATGTGGCTAGAGTATGCAGGCAGTTCCTTGAGGATGAAGGAATTGATATCATTGAATGGCCCCTATGCTCGCCTGACCTAAAACCAATAGAACACCTCTGGTCATGTTTTGGTCCATCCAACGAGGCAAGGTTGCACCTCCGACTATCCAGGAGCTCAGTGTTGCCCTGGTCCAGATCTGGGAGGAAATACCCCAGGACACCATCCATCTCATTAGGCGCATGCATACAAGCACATGGGGGCCAAATAAACTACTGGGTACCATTCCGAGTTGCTGCAATGAAATTTCAGCAAAATGGACTAGCCCTCTGCGTCATTTTTTCACTTTGATGGAAAAGTATCAACCTACAGAGGACTGAATTCAAAGACAACCCAAAAATCAAACAATGGGGCATCCTTACGTTCCTAACACATTACCCAGTGCATATCAGTATAGATATCCAGCATTATATTTTTTTCCCCGTTGAGATCTGATGTGTTTTCAAAGTGTTCCTTTAATTTTGTGTGTGTGTGTTTTGTGCTTGACCCCCTGGATGTGTCAGAACACAGTGAAAGAGGCTCAGCAGGTTCTTGGTGAATAAGGTTGTGCTTTATTTACAAAGTCTGGTGAACACACGGTGCATAAATCCAAAAACAGCAAAACAGAAAATAAAGCCTTGCCACACTGGGCTACTAACTACAAACACAGGGCTCCTATCTAGCTGTCTGATAC